AAAAAAAAAAAAAAAAACCTGTCAGGCGATAGCCATTACCTGCCATTTACAGATGTAGATACTGCCATTTACAAATATAGATACTAGAATCACAAAAAAAAAAAATGAACAGGAGGACTACATCAAACTAAAAAGCTTCTGTACAGCAAAGGACACCATCAGTGGAACAAAAGGCAACCTACAGTATGGAGAATACATTCAAAAATGATTTATCAAAAAAGGGGTTAACACCCAAAAAATATAAAAAACTCAAATGCCTCAACACCCCCCACCAAAAAAATATCCTCATCAAAAAATGGGTGTAGGACTGTAACACTTTTCCAAAGAAGAAATACAAATGGCCAACAGGCACATGAAAAGATGCTCCACTTTGCTATTCATCAGGGAAATAAAAATTAAAACCACAAAGAGATATCACCTCACACCAGTTAGAATGACCACTATCCAAAAGATAAGAAATAACAAATGCTGGAGAGAGTGCAGAGAAATAGAAACCCTCCTACACTGTTGGTGGGACTTCAAATTTGGTGACTGCTGTGGAAAGCAGTACGTAGTTCCCTCAAAAAAGTAAAAATAGAAATACCATAAGACCCTGTAATTCCACTTCCAGGAATTTACCCAACGAAAAAAAAATCCCTGATTTTAAAAGATATATGCACCCCTATGTTCACTGTTGCATCAAAACAATAGCCAAGATACAGGAGCAACCTAAGTGTCCGTCGATAAATGAATTTATAAAGGTGTTGTACATATACAATGGAATATTATTCATCCATAATAAGAGAAATCCTTCTTTTTGTAACAACATGGATGGACCTAGAGGGTATTATGCTAAGTGAAATAAGCTAGATGGGGAAAGACAAAATAGCAGTAGACTCACAGACACTGTGAAGTGACTGGTGGTTACCACCAGGGAGGGCTGGGTGGGTGGGTTGGGAGGGGTGTGGGATAAAAGGGCACAAAAATTTTCAATCATAATATATGTAACAGGGATGGTAGTACGGCATGGAGAATATAGCCAATGATCCTATAACATCTTCCTATGTAACTGCATTAGTGGGAGTGAGGATTTAACAAAGTGGGTAACGGTTGAACCACTATATTGTATACTTGAAACCAATACAAGATTGTATATAAGCTACTTCAATAAACTACTGTTTATTGTCTCAGAGAGCTCATGAGACTTCATAACCCAAAACCATGGCAATTCCCAGTACCATATGCCATGGCACTTTGATTGGCTACCTAGCAGTGTAAACATAGAGCACAGCCTCCTTGAGAACTCAAAGCCACTGGGGGAAATACACAATAAGGAAAATGTGGTCATTGCCTTAAAGAAATGAGAGAAGAGAAACAGAGACTGACAACTATTAGACATATACCTACCACTGAGTCCACTGATTTACAAAGCTAGAAGGTCCTTCCAAGTCAATTCCCCCCTTTAAAGATGAGAAAGCTGATACCAAAAATTGAAACAAGGTGCTCAACACCATAGTAAAAAACACAGGACTATACATGGAAGACTGAGGAAGATAAGCAATGCTAATTAAGACAATCATTGTTGATGATTAGGAGGAATATAGCTACAGTATCATCTAGAGAAATGACTGTAGCACAAGACAACCAAGCTGTGCTGTCAAAACCCTTTTTTGGTGCACCCCTTCATTCTCCTAACACATGTGCTCCTGCAAAGCAGTTTCTCAAAGTGCAGTGTCCTTGGACCCTCTACATCAGAAGCTCTTAGGCCGCTTACCAAACATGCAGGTTCCTGAACACCACTGTAGACTGATTCTGTAAAGAATCAGAATCCCTAGGGCAGGAGTAGGAATATGTATTTTGAATAAGTACCCTAGGTAATTCCGATGCATATTTAAAGTTGAGAACTACTGCCATAGAGATTATAAATATTATCTGGTGATACAGTATTTTAGACAATAAGCATGAAGCATGGTAGAATTATTTAAATATAACTAAAATTTTATAATATGTAATAGTAATAAATCATAAGTTGATCAGGGGTGGGTATAAACAGTGTGTGAACTGACACTATATTAAATGTTCCTTCATATTTTTAGGTTGTATTCACCATCAATGGGACTAGACATAAAGCATCCCTCAAGAAATAACTCTTTTTAGATCTAGATCACCTTTAATCAAAAAGTTTATAGGTTTTTGGAATCTGGAATCTGTGCCCGAAGAAATTTACGGGAAGCCCCAGAATGCACCCACCTGTTCAAACAGCATGGCAACCAGCATTCATCTATATTCTGGTATTTACTTCATAAAAAGAAAACTTCTTTGGACGTTACCTCCAATAGGGTAATAGCTCCAGTGAAATCTCTTTGTGAAAGTAGCTCCTCTAGTTTTGGTATCTTCCTACCTTTCTTCTTTCTTTTGTCAATGTGCGGTGGGCCCCCGCCTACAGCTGGTTTGGCTCTTGAAAGCATCTGTAAAAGAAACGACAGATACAGCTGTCTGACCCAATTCCGATGGTCAGTTTTTAACTGAGATTGATAGCGCCAGGATTTACAAGGAACCCCGGGAAAGCCTATTCCAACTCTTTTCGTCACACGTAATTTACTAAACGGGTCATCCTCCGTACTTGTGCTGAACCAAACAGCTACTCACAACTTAATTATCTTCATTAGAGTGAGGTAAGAGATGCTTTTGCGCAGCTCGGGTGTGGGGAGATGGAAAAGCAGGAGGGAAGAGAGCATCGAGGTGTTTACAGTTGCACCTCTCTTCCCCGTGGGAACCGAAGGAGGGCAGAGCGATCGTCCTCTGCGCACACGCCTAGACAAACCAGAAGTGTGCTCTAACTAGAGTCTTAGGAACTACTCAAAGTTAACCCTCAAGCTCAGAGCCACTAACCATCTTGACGTCTGTTCTGTGAGCCCCCTCCACAGACTGACAGCAAAGGCCGGGCCTCTGTGCTTCGCTGCATCCACACAGGTCGCTCTGTCTCCACGGTAACCCTGTGGGCGGGGGAGCCGGTCCGTCTCGGAGAAGCGCTCGCCAGAGAAACCAGTTGCTTAGTTTCTTGGTTCCGTTCCGCTTCCGCCGCTGCGGGAATGGAAGTTCCTTTCTGAGGAGAGCGTGTGTTTCTGTGCTGTGAGTGAGGTTTTGTGTCTCTGTTTTTTAGTTTACTTTAGGGGAAAATTAAGTATAGAGTGATATATTTTTTCAAATACAAATTTCCTGGGAAAGTGATTTTCAAGGACCACTTCCGATTTTGACCGCGTTGGGCTCCATAGCAACCCCTGGCTCTGACTGGCTCGTGACGTCCGCCTCTGGCCGGCGCGGGAAGCTTAGAAAATAATTTGCTGCTGAACCGAAGAAGCAGGTTTCTGGAGGGGAGAGTTCACCAAAATAGTTTTTTTTTCATGGACACTCTTAACACACAACACACAAAAAGGAACTATAATAAATATGTGTTTATTGGAGGACTTAATTTATCTTACTCCTGAACCTAGTAGTGTAAAATATCGAAAGTGGAATGTTAGAGGGAGAAGGGACCTGAAAGGACATGCAGTCCCACCTTGAGAATTAACAGACTAAAGAACTAACACCACCTGGGGAAATGATACTCTCAAGTGTGTGGGTTGTTGTGGCATAGCTAAGCACATCACATGCCGCTCTGTAAAACTAGCTCTAGAGACTCAAGTAGGGCACAAGCTCATTGAAGGCAGTTAAGATTTCTTAGATTCTCTTGCATAATCCTCGCGCCCCAGCCCCTGCCTTCCCCTACTTCCCCTCGGCGCCCCTAATCACTTGGAGAGACAATGAATGATTACATATCTTAATTCACTGATACATGAGTTTTGTATACACACACGTCAATATATAGAGACACAGACCAGACACATGCATAGACTTGAGGGATGCAAAGATTCACTAGCACTAGACTTAACAAATCTTTTGGTTCCAAATATCAGAATTATCCATAATTTTGGTTTAATTTAAAATAAAATTATTTTTGACTCCCTTTTACAGAATAGTCTCTAAATTTTTTTATAATCACTTTATTGAGTTATGTAAGTCCGGGGAGAAGAAATCTCAGGGCAAAATACCTCTAAAACCGAAATCATTCAAAGGGAGAAATAAAGTTCAAAATCCGTATATTCCTTACAAATTGCAGTCCGCGGCCGTTTCTCTTTCCTGCTCCAGCAGAAGCAAAACCAGCCCTCACCCTCACCTCTCAGGTACAGATATGTCCTCCATTGCCCAAGTAATTACCTATTGATATGGAGATGAACTTATCTCCACCTCTGAGGAATGATACAAATGCACTAAAGCCATACTTCTTTCCACTTCTGAACACCTATTAATATGGAGATGTACTAAACCCAGCCGAGATATTCTGGAAATACTACAATTTTACCCACAGTTATCATTCAGATACCATGAAACTCACCCTTCTAAGGTATACAATTCAGTAGTTTTGAATATACAGATATCCCTGCTTTTCAAAAGTTTACATTACACCACTTTGGCTTTTAGGAAAGACCTACATTAATACCTGTTTTGCTAACTGAAAGAAATCTAAAGAGGAATTTAGCTTTTATGAAAAATGGTGAAATGGGAAAATAGTTATGCCGCGGTTCTTGTTTGCAAAGTCAAAGAATGAGCTTCACAAATACCCAAGGTAGGAGAGCCACAGAGAGGCTTTTATTTAGAAATAAAATAAGAGGAAAGAGCTCCTAGCTCTCTCCAGGAGGGGACAAGAGAGCCTGGGGTGGTGTGTTGTCTAGGGGATTTATAGGCAGTTGAGGATTTTTGGGAATTGAGGGTTTAGGGTGTGGACTTGTACCACCTGCCCTGCCCTCAAGGTGGGCTGGGTTGTTATCTGTTTGCCAGGGCTGTTTACAGTGAAGTCACAGGTTATGCTGAGATACCCTTGCGGAACACTCAAACATTCCAGGCCAAGTTGTTCCTGGCCTTTGACCTTTAACTGATCTCACTGAAGATGTCTATATTCTTAGCCTAGTATCTTTACCCTAGAGATTAGTGTGACCTTGAATTTCCATAATGCTGAACACAGAGTGTCAATAGGGACTTTACATTGTTACATTGCTTTGACTGTAAATATCTTGCCTGGCTTTTTCCGGAGGCCCTCACCCTACTCCGTCTAAGCCCATGGTCCCTGTCTCAATAGTGTTCCATATTGTTTTTCTGACGTAGAAGAGGCACACACTCCGAGCAGTGAGAGTGGTCCCGTCAAGCTCCTTGCTCATAACTATGTTCAGTATCAGCATCATGACACCAGAGCTTTGAACTGTGTCCGTGCTGTGCTTTATCTCAATTTATTTTGTGCATCCATTAATGTAAGTCCTGGGAAAGGAAATCCTGGGACAAAATACCTCTAAAAACCGAAATCAAAGGGAGAAAGAGTTTAAAATCCGTTTATTGCTTACAAACTGCAGTCTGGGGCCCTTTCTCTTTCCTGCTCTGGCAGAAGCAAAACTGGCTTCTCAGGTACAGATATGCCCTCTGTTGCCCAGGTAATCACCCATTGATATGGAGAACTTCTCTCCCCCCCTGAGGATATGCAAATGCACTAAAGCCATACTTCTTTCCACCTCTGAACGCCTATTGATAGACAGATGTATGTACTAAAGCCAAGTGAGATATTGTGGAAATACTACAAGTTACCCAGGGTTAGCAAGATGTGTTCTGGAGTACCAGAAAATCCTGAGAGGGGACTAGGCTTTTTTCAGTCTAGAAACACTTAAGGATTTCCATATAAATTAGTGGTAATTGCCTCTTTGCTTTATGCTATTTGGGCTTCTGGAAAGCTTTATAAGAACGCTCTGCTTTCAGATAGTGGGGGAAACCCATCTTCACGAGGTATATCATCACCATTATAGAATTCCAGAACACTTCCGTCATCCTAAATAGAAACCCACATCCATCAGCAGTTATGCAACATTTCCCAACTCTCCCCACCCTCCAGCAACCACTAATCTATTTTTTGTCTATTGATTTGCCTATTCTGAGTGTTTCATGTAAATGAAATCATACAGAGATCTACGTATAGTCTAAATATTGAAAAATTTTAAATCTCCCTGGAAAACTGCTAAGTAAAAATGTTTTATCCTCCCATTTTAACAAATACACTGTCATGAAGGTCAAGCCCCAACTTAGAATTCTCAGACTTAATTCTGTTGCTCGAGATGGCAGTGTGGAGAGAGCCAGTCACAGCCCTCAGCCCATGCCCTTCTCTTTTTTGTTCAGGCTGCATCCTATACCATGAGGGGCTTCATGCATCTGTGTGGACACCCACCCCACAAACGCATAGTCACCCGCTCTCCTATTAGCTGTCCTCCTCTGAAAGGTCCAAAGGGAGGACAGATGCAGGAAAAAGACTTGCTCAGGCGGAGAAACAGGCTTGGGCTTGTATGGGTGGGGAATTTAGAGTCCTGAGCACCATAATGTGGTGAAAAGACCTGCAAGAAATCCCTAGCTCCTTGGCCTCTTCATGCCTGGTGTAGGGTGAAGTCAGAGCACAGAACCAGAGCTCGGTCCCCTCTCACCAGCGTTTAAGGGCATACTGTAAACAACCTGGTGATGTTGCTAAATCTATTGAAATGACCTCTGATTTCTAGTAGTTTGGGATATTGCTTTAAGCTTCAAAATCCCTGTACAGGCTATTTGAACTATGTTAATAATTATGAAGGGCAGGATATGGTACTGAGTATAGTTGTAAGAAGTTTTTATTCCCAACTACAGCCTAAGAATCTAAGGTATTATGGTATAGGTCTTTCACCTCCTTGGTTAGGTTTATTCCTCGGTATTTTATTCTTCTAGATACAATTGTAAATGGAATTGTTTTCCTGATTTCTCTTTCTGCTAGTTCATCATTAGTGAATAGGAATACAATAGATTTCTGTGTATTATTTTTGTATCCTGCAACTTTGCTGAATTCAGTTATTAGTTCTAGTAGTTTTGGGGTGGATTTTTTAGACTTTTGTATGTACAATATCATGTCATCTACAAACAGTGACAGTTTCACTTCCTCCTTACCAGTCTGAATACCTTTTATTTGTCTATGTTGTCTGATTGCCATGGCTAGGACCTCCATTACTACATTGAATTAAAGTGGGAAGAGTGGGCATCCTTGTCTTGTTCCCAATCTTAAAGGAAAAACTTTCAGCTTTTTGCTGTTAAGTATTGTTAGGAGAAAGACAGAAATAAGCGGATGGAAAGGAGAAAGGGCCCCCCAAAGATGACTCAGGGAGTTGATCAAATAGAGCCAGAAAGCCAGAAATGACTTAGAAAGTTAATCAGATGAAGCCACAGGGTCCAAGTGACTCAGGAAATGTTCACAGTCTCCCCAGATAAGAAACATCAGAGGCACAGGCACAGCACAGTCCCTGTACCCATTTCACCAATCAGAACAAGCCTAGAGAGCTGACAACTGTCAATCAAGGACCTCTCTGCCCTGCCAAAACCACATAAAAGAAGCCTCAGAGTGAGCTTCCATGCCTGCCTGTCTTATCTTAGGCTGGCCCACTGTGTTACTCTATGCAGGGTGCATTAAAACTTACTCGGCTTTCTTGACTTTGGTCTCTTGTCTCACTATATCTGACTTCCCTGTGACACTGAGCCAAGTCCTTTCCTTCCTAACAGTATGATGTTGGCTGTGCGTTTGTCATATATGGCCTTTATTATGTTGAGGTACTTGCCCTCTATACCCATTTTGTTGAGAGTTTTTATCATAAATAGATGTTGAATTTTGTCAAATGTTTTATCAGCATCTATTGACATGATCATGTGATTTTTGTCCTTTTTGCTGATATGGTGTATGATGTTGATGGATTTTTTATTATTGTGCCATCCTTGTATCCCTGGAATAAATCCTACTTGGTCATAATGAATAATCCTTTTGATATATTTTTGAATTTGGTCTGCTAATATTTTGTTGAGTATTTTTGCATCTATGTTCATCAAGGAAAGGACATTGGACT